GTCCTAGACGCAAGGCCCACCATACATGACCATTTCAGCAGTAACTCTGTCTAGTCCCGCAGCCTTACCACATTTCAAACTTCGAATCACACGTTCAATCTCTTTCATACTGATGAACTCAATGTCATCTAGGTCCGGGTCTGGCGTACCAGTAATTGTCATATTGTATTAATAAAATTACATCTATAACCTCTTAATTCCATATGAAGACTAGTCGTAGGGACCATATGGACACTAAACATATAAAATGAAAGTTGGCAATGTCATCACGGTTTAACGTTCTGTGGGAATACCCAAAGTGTTTACCGCAAGGATGTTAAGACGCAGTTTTGGCGTGATTCATTATCAATTTTAGTTTTTGAGACAGTTCCGTGTTGACTTTGGACAAGTGTGTGCGAGCGACAGTTCAATCGTTTTCTTTATTAAATTCTTATTGTTATTACTTGGTATTACTTGTTATTACGTGTTGTTATTATTCTTGTTGTTACATTTTCTGTTTCTTTTTTGTTTTAATAATTCCTAACGCGTACGTTTATAGTGCTCGTGAATACAGCAACATGTTAATGTGCCTTGGAGAAGCTCGCGGGAATGCTTCGCGTGCATTACGAATTTACCGAGAGAAATTCCCAACCCCTCGATACCCAGCTCACTCTCGTCTGATAACAGCTGTATTTTAGCGAGTGTTGGAAAATCGGCCTATTGCTCCGGTAGCGGCAGGAGGTGGAAGTCAAGTGGCTGTTTACTCCGAGGAGCGCATTTTAGATGTCCTTCGCCGGTATCCGAACCTAGGTACACCAAGTATCGCTAAATTGTTAAGACGTTGGGATGGAACAAGTGTATCATACTGTGCAGTTCACAAGGTGTTAAAGCGTAACCAAATGCGCCCATACAAAGTGCACAAAGTGCAAGCTTTAGTTCACGGCGATCATGATCGCCGGCGAGTTTTCTGCTGTTGGTTATTAGACCAGCAACAACGTGTGCCTGGTTCCATTGAGCACGTTATCTGGATGGACGAGTCGACATTTACTAGAAATGGCCTGTGGAACCGAAGAAATACACTGGTGTATTCAGAGGTTAACCCGCACGCTGTTCGACAAACAGGGTACCAAACCCGATAGTCGGTTAACGTATAGGCAGGTTTATTTAAGGATCACATATTGGGACCAATGTTTCTGCCACAGCGACTTAACGGACAGCGATACCTAAACTTTATAAATGAACAGTTGGTTGACATTTTAGACGACCTATTGTTGGCTGAATATCGTCGTACATGGTTCCAGCATGATGGTGCACCTCACCGAAATATTTGATGATCGCTGGTTTGGCAGACTAGGACCACACGCTTGGCCATTTCGCTCACCAGATCTAACCCCGATAGAATTCTTTCTGTGGGGGTATGTGACAGAAAGGGTTTATAATCGTCTGTTTAATCGTAGTGTGATAGTGCTGACGAAATACGCTAAAGGATCGTGGATGTTTTCGACAAACTTCGTACGGACTGTGTCGAAGACCACACGGTGATTCCCGGCTTCCATGCGGAGACGCAACACCGAGCCCAAATCTGTCTTGAAATCAATGGAGCACAATTTGAGCCGCATCTCATAAGGCCCACTGAGTGTGGAGACTAGCACAGTGTCAAAATAGTAGGTTAAGTAGATATGTTAGGTATTTAGACAAGTGTTTTAAATAATTAGGTATTGCAGTATTGCCGTATTTGCAGTATTTGCTGCGTGGATTCGGCGTCGATTCCGCGCGACAATATGGTCAATAACCATATTGTCAGCTGATTTCATTTAATCTCCAGTGCTGGTTTTATGTTTAAGTATTTTTATGTTTTTATTTTTTATTTTATAGAATTATCGTTTCTTTTATCTGTACTAACATGATGGAGCGTGAATAAAACTAATAAAACGTTGTGAAAAGAAGATTTTTTCACTCGGGATTAATTTTCTTCCTGCCCATGATCAAAGGTCATTGCCCATTAGTACTATCGCCTGTCTTTGTTTTCGGGAGAGTTTCACAAGCATCCGGTATAAACCAATTTATAAATTTAAACTGTATTAATAAAGGTATTTAATTTTGATAATAGGTGTCTGAAAAAAGTACAGATCATTGATAAGAAAAATGTAAGTGATTAATAATGAATAATTATTCGACTAAATATTTCAGTATTTAAATTTATAAATTTTGAGGTTAATTTCTGTCGCTGTTCAACTGATTTTTTATATGATTAAATATTATATCGATAAATAAACTCGCAGCCACAAACTGACTTTTGCCTTAAAATTCATACGCGTACTGAGGATGCTAAAATCAAAGCTTGTGACTGCCCATTGAAATAGTCTCTCACACTAAATATCTGGGCGTCGTTGTAGAGCAGAGGCTATCGTGGTACCCACACCTGAGCATGTCATTAGTAGGCCCCGAAAATTGATTTGGATGCTCAAAACTCTAAGACATGTAATACCTGATAGTACTAAGCAGTCGGACTCTCCCAAATATCTTCTAAACCAAATTATACATGCCCTTACACAATCTATCATAGCGTATTGCATTCCGGTATGGGATAGAGCTGCAAAGACCCAATTTCTCTCAATCTTTTCAATAAAATTCTTCTCAATAATCTCTTAATTTCTTCAATCTCTCGCAGGCTCGCATGAAAGCACGCACGAACATACAAACGCACGCACGCACGCACGTACGCATTCACGAACGCACGCATGAATGCACGCAAGCACGCACGCACGCACGAAAGCACGCCATCAAACACACACACACACACGCACGCACGCACGCACGCACGCACGCACAGCGGACGCACGGCGGACGCACGCACGAACTCACCCACGCACGCACACACGCACGCACGCTCGCACGCACGCACGCACACACACACGCGCACACACACACACACACACACACACACACACACACACACACACACACACACACACACACACACACACAAACACACACACACACACACACTTTTGTAATTTTTGGTTGTTAAATAGAGTAATTAGTGTTTGTTAATTTGGGTTTATAGTATTAAAAAATGTATGTTTAGATAAGGAAGAGCGGGATTTACTTGCTTAAATGGAGACCCCAATCAACTATGTGATTAATTTAAGTTGAAGTGAAGAAAAATATTTTTTTTATGATGTTCATGTTGCTTATTACCAAGGTGAGATGTCAGATGTTACACGTCATATGCGACTACTGTAAGGCTCGCTCCTTTTTTGTAAAAGTATTATTTCGTAAAAGTAAGTTGCAGCAAGGAATAAATATTTTTTTCTTTCTTTCTTCTTCCTTTTTAGTCTACCTTAAACCCTTATGAAAACTGCCAATCACACATTAATTATAAAACTTGTGATTATAAAACTGTTGCTCGAGGCTATTTCTTTTTTAATCAAATTCAAAAGTATTTCTATGATAAGATATTTTATATTTCCTCAAAAATTGGCAAACCTTAATTATAGTAAATATATAAATCACTCATACTAAATCCTTGACATTGTAAAATGTACACGTAACATTCATTCATAGCACCGAATATCGATACAACCTTTAATAGCATATAAAATAAAACACATTACGAATTCATTGCACACCTCGGTATACATTACGTGCCTTATAAATAATGAATATCGTATGTCGAAAGTGGGCTTGAACTTAAACACAATCTACTTTCTTCCATTCTCAAAAGTAGCCTATGTTTTTTCCTCATTTTTGAACGTTTTATGTCTAATTCATATACAAAAGGTATACTAAATATACTAAAATTGAATATCGTATAATCGTTTATTATTGATTGATTGATTATAAATCTTTCTATTGTGATTAAGAGAAAAAAATGAGAACGAAATTAGTATTTTATTAAATAGACGTCAATTTTTATAATTAGTGCCATAAATATATTACTTAACTAAGCCAAGCTAATATTAACTTACCGCTTAATTTTTTTTAAACGATCGGGTGACAAATTAGCACACAGTCCACCTGATGGTAAGTGGTTGCTGTGGCCCATAGACATCTACATTTATCCTCGTTTGCGAATCAAAATGCAGATGCGTTGTCACCCGTGAAGACTAAGATGGATTTTTTTTATAGGATGAGGGTGACAAACGAGCTCACAGTCCACCTGATGGTAAGTGGTTGCTGCGGCCCATAGACATCTACATATATCCTCTATTACAAATCAAAATGTAGATGCGTTGTCACCCGTGAGGACTAAGATGGAATGCCTCATTTCCAGTAAAAAGGGCCTCCGGCCACCTGCACTCACCAAGCGAAACGCAGAGGTAAACCTCTACTTCACGCTGGTTTTCTGTGAGGTCGTGGTACCACCCCGTTTCGAGCCGGCCCATACGTGCGACAGCAAAAGCTACCGCGTGGCTCTACCACTGTTAAAATGCCTCTTTTCCAGTAAAAAGGGTCTCCGGTTCTCTACACTCACCATAAGAAACACACTAGTGTTAAACTGCTATTTTACGCTGGTATTGTGTGAGAGCGTGGTCCTTCCCCGGTCGAGCCGACCCATTCGTGCTAAAACTATACTACTAATATAGCTGCAGCATGGCTCTACCACGTATAAAATAAGTTACTTAATATATATAAGTTACTATTTATATTAATTCCGGACTCTCTATTATTTATATATGTGTGTAGGCGAAAGAGGATCATGCTCAGATGCACTCACGATGGATGGCGCAAATATGCGCGCGTTACAACATAAAGTACAAGAAAATAAGTATAATAAACAGATCGTAAGAAATTCGTCGCAAATATATGGTACTCTTTCCCGATTATGCTATTTTTAAAAATCCTTTAATGTCTGCCACGTTATTGTAATTCCCTGTGGCGCAGTGATAAAGTAACAGTTTAAACATGTAAGTAGTTTCAACTAAATATTCAAATGAGATCACGATATATAGCTGCCGTGTGTTGAACTTGTACACATTTCTCTCCATCAGGTTGGGTTAGACACATTCGAAACGAAAATGTTGACTTTAATTATTTATTTAGCCTGTTGCAAGCTAACTATCGCATCTGGTAAGTTTATTTTATTATGTCTCATTTTTTATTCTCCTTATTATTATTATGTTTCATGATTCTTAATACCGAAGCCGTAGTAGTTTATAGGTTTTGGCTTGCCGTAAATATCGTAAGCGAGCAACCCGGATGCGATTCAGGACACCAACAAAATTATTAATTGCATTTTTAATGACTGATTTACATATGAAAATAGCTTGAGAAAACCTGCATGTCTAGGAAATTGCAAAACTTCTGAAGAGCTGTTATGATGATGATGATGATAACTACGTCATAGGACTCCATTTCTACTAAGAAGTCCGTCTCGGAAGATACCACCGAGATTTAAGTGGTAGATACAGCCATGCTGCAGCTATATTAATTGTATAGTTGTAGCACGAATGGGTCGGCTCGACCGGGGAATGACCACGCTCTCACAGAATACCAGTGAAATAGCGGCTTAATGCTGCTGTGTTTCGTATAAAAATATCTGACGAACATTATGCGAAAAAGAGATAAATAACATTAGTCTTGATAAAAAAAATGTTCTTAAACTTTAAGTAAAACTTTCAAGATCTGCATGTGATTATATTTTTCCAAAGAGACTTATTGGTTTCAAGATCAATTATTGCAACTCTTTGAAAAAACTTTTTTGTCCTCGTATAAATTATCGGTTACTTTTCTTTTTGCCCCAGAATATCTTAAGTCTCTATAGTCTTTAAGGTTCTGACCATCGCTTTATTCTCAGAGAGCTTATAATTGATATTTACCTGACTACAAGGAAGCCTATTGGCACTCCCGCATACCCGAAAAACATAAATAGATAAATCTTTCTTTGGTAAAGCGAAGATGGAAGACCCTATTTGTGTTATAAAAGCAACAATTTGTGGGTGTTAGTACTCTAAAACTGTGTCGTTATCATTATCTGAAATGAGAAAATGATTCTTCGAAGGTACATTTTTAAATCTTCTTCCAGATATTATTTTATCCGAAAGAGTTCCTGTAAACGGGAAGTATACAGAAGTGCCGGCAGATGCTGAACCAAATGAAGTAGAGGAACGGATTGTTGGTGGTCGAAATGCAACTTGTGAAGAGTTCCCGCATCAAGTCAGTTTTGTTGTGAACAACTCATATTTCTGCGGAGGATTTATCATCAGTGAACAGTATATACTGACTGCTGCTCACTGCGGACAGGAGTATGTAATCCAAAATGATATTTTAAACTTACTATGGGCATGGTTTCGTTTTTAGCCTACTCTTACGAAAACCACGGAACAAAATTATGTTGAGCTGCCACAACACGGTTTATATATTAAATATTTCCTCCAAATATTGTTTCAGAGTTGATCCTTCCACGGTCGTTATGAGAACAGGAAGTACGTGGAGAAAAAATGGTACAAAAGTAACCGTGACAGAAGTTATTCCCTATCCAGAATACAGCAATCCGCCATACGATAAGGATATTGCCATTATGAAGATTGCTGAACCTTTGGAGTTTGATACATGCACACAGCCGATAGCCTTACCACCCAAAGGTTTATTTGCGAGTTCTGGAGAAGTTATGACAGTGAGTGGATGGGGACGCACTAAGGTGAAATCTAAATTTCATTATATTCGATTACAAATTGTATGCTATCCTCTCAATCAGTATAATAATTGAAAGTTGATCATAAAACACATAAAGTTAACCCGGGTTCAAAAACCAATAATAAAATATTTCCATGCGGTATTTGCATCTAGAGTACGATAAAGTCATTTGGTTGTAAAACAAGATATATATCGACGATGCAATAAGTTTTCAATATATTCTTAATGATAACTAACTTAAAGGCTAGGAGTAAACGTATATAATCTTAAGTAGATTTAAGGATATATACTTTTTCAGTACAAAGAGTCGCAGGTTCTCTACACTCACCACACGAAACACAATAAAATTGTGCTATTATATGCTCGTATTCTGTAGGAGTGTGTTCCTTTCCCGGTCACATTCAATCTGAAGCCATAATACGGCTGCAGTGTGGCTCTACCGTATGACATAAGTTATTGCTGTTAATATTGCATATTCATAATTTTATTTCTATATAAAATATATTATGTCATCACTACACAACACACAGCCTATCAAGACTTTTGATTCCATAGAGTTCCCCGTAGATTACTTCATATTGGGCAATCTACGCATGCTCTCACATCTGAGAGTGTCTAAGGACAAGAAAGTGTAGACCACACTGCCCCGATCCATGATGGTGGACTTCACGTGTCCTCGTATTTCTTTTAATATCTAAGACATGTATATTTCGTTATAATCGTTTCTATCACCGCTGAGTACGTGTTAAGTGAGCAATTAAAATTGCAATGACCAATATATTTAGTGATACCAGGGAATCCAGTTTGCTGGCATACTGTGAAATGTACAGCGAGCGCCTAGCCTCTTAACTACCATGACCCAGAAGCTAAGAGCAAGTTGGAAATTTTTATAAGTAGTGATATGTTGTTAGTTTTATAAGTACTCAAATATTCAGACTAGTGAGAAGCAGCTGCTTTAGTAATGCGAATGTGTTGTAACTGTGCTGCCCAGGCTATATACTTTGACGTACACGTAAAAATACGTAATATACGAGTAATAAATAATTTTAATGTACACCTGGCCGAATTTCGGTCATGGTGTTCACTCTTAACGGAGACTAGGCATCTGCGCAGGACAGAATAATAGATCAGAAATGCGTTCGCAAGCATATGTGCACTCTCTCTGCCCTCACACTTATAGGCCGATGGAATGATAATATAAAGAATGTAAGGGATCTGACGCAAGACCAAATGTTTTACTCTTTTTCCGAGCCTCGAGCATGAACCACCGCCAACTTCCTGACTCCGTGATGCTACTGAGAGTTTCTTGAAAGAAGAACCCAATAACTAATTTTTGGCCTGACCTTGGATTTTAACCCGGGGCCATATGATCAGTAGTTGCACTAATGAAGATTATAAAAGCTATTGAAGAAATATATGATTTAAGTCTATGAAATTACGAGGAGTTCTCAAACGAAAAATTTGTTTCAGCAAGGTGCCACCATGATACCAGATAGACTTATGGCAGTTAATTTAACAATAGTTAATCACGTACTATGTCAAGCAGCATACATTCCACTGTCTATCACAGAAAATATGTTATGCGCCGGTAACTTTTTCCTCGGTGGACCGAGCACATGCCAGGTAAACATAATATTGTCTTTAAAGTTTAAGCAAAATCGCATTAAGTATCTTTCAAATTGCATTTTATAAGAATCTATTATTATTTAACAACCTCTTCTTCGACTTTCAAAATTTCTAAGCAACTGACCGTTAATAGATTTTACAGCTACGGAGAAGCTACACAACACTGTCTGACATATTCATGGATACCAAACCATGTACATGTAGGCCCTGTTGATCCTGACACAAGCACAAGAATTCCTATAAAGAGGATTTAATAGTTGTATCAGCCCGGCCTTAATCCAAGCGAGTTCTTCGAAGACTTCTCCTTGTTTATATGAAAAGAAAATTTCTTGTTCTTACATCCCATCCCTGATCTAAATCCAGCGTTTTAACGGACTGACGAACGATGGACTGAAGGAAAAGTTTGGAACATTGCACATTTCTTTCACTCTTTCAACAGCATTGTCTAAAAGCACTTAGATTTTTAACAATGCTAAGCAGGCTGATTGCATGCTAGGTTCCTCTCCTGTTTTAGGAATAATTTGTCATAATAATAAGGTAGACTAGTATAAACTATTACACTAGTATAAGTTTTTTATTATACACAATGATTGTTGGCTCTTGCTAAACATCAAACTGCAGCTAGGACTAGGTCAACAATCGTACACGCTCTATACTTAGTTACTGCATTTACTTGTAGAATTTATTATATTAAGCACATTTTTTTTTCTTCCAGGGTGACTCTGGCGGAATTGGTTCGATTGACAATGTAGCTAGAGGTATCGTATCTTTTGGCCGTGGATGTGGCCAACCGTTGGCACCTAGCGTTTTCACCGACATCTCAGCTCCAGACATGAGAGACTTTATCACGAAACACACGGGATTATAGACTTTATAGTTACTGTTAGTAGACTGCATTTAGGAATAATAAAAGTTTTGAGTCATAAGTCATGATTTTTTTATTTAATTTTTTTTTATTATCAAGTTTATTATTTAAAATTAATTTTATAAAATGTGGGTGACTAAAGAGCACAATAAAAAGTTCTAAATGGACTTATTGAATCCAACAAAGAAGTGATTTCAAAACATTTTTGCATGCAGATAATAATTCACAGGGATTCAAGATTAATCGGAAAACTAGGACTCACAGGCTCGCTGGGAAGCAAATAGTACTGTATGTAAGGTTTTAAATCAGTAACAATAAAATAATTTAGCGCTTAGTACCAGAAAAAACTAAAAGAATTGAATTTACGTTAAAAAATGTGAAATGGCATTACCTTGCAGAGTAATAAATTTACTGTAACATATCCCAAAATTCAACGTAAGGCAAACACCAGGGAGTGGGCAAATTAATCAATACTCAGGGAAAAATTCTGACTTTTAAAAAAAGTTATAATAACTTTTTTTGGATACTTTAAAATTTTACAAACTATACACTATGTTTAGGTACTATGACTACGAATTTGAAAATATCACTGTTGTTTTTTTTGTATTAGCAACTTAAGTAGCATTGCTGTTCATTCCAGTTCCAAATAAAACGACAATAGCTGAAGTTTTAAGAAAAAAATAAAATAAAATGAATCTGTAACCCAAAAACTGATTTTGGGGCACACTATAACGTTCATAATTATAATCATAATTAATTTATTTACCTGAAATATAGTGGGTACACAAAATGTTAAATTATATTTCACCCATATTACGCGCACGCAAAATTATAGTTAATTTACAACAATCATTTGAATAAAATTACAATTATTAGAACTATTCAATTTATAAATTGTAATTCAAACAATTTATAACTGTTTCAATTACAATTTATACATACGAACTATTTGAATTACAATTATTACAATCTTTTAAATTTCAATTATTTGAATTGATTACAATTACTTAAATTATTGAATTATTATATTGGACTAAGTCACATAAAATAAAAGGAAGAGCCGGTATCTTAGTGGGCACCAAATCGGCATGTGCCTTTATTCAAAAAATCTTTAAGAGTATGGAAACTCTCCTGGATTAAACATTCTTTCAAGGCACAACAGAACCTTTTATATAAAAGGTCAGTCGTTCCTTTGGGCAAAGAGTTATATATTAGAGGTGCCATATAGACACAGTTTTTTTTTTATACAATTCTAGCTTAGGCACATGCATTTTTAAGGGCTGATTTTACATTTGAATACATTGTCGTTAGTGGTAAAAAGACGACTGTGGTATTTAACAAAGGAGAAGGAGACGTCTCCATACATTTGGGCCCAAGTGTTAACAAGATGAAAGTAGGACCATTTGAAAGTATATATATAAACAATTCATAGCTGAAAATCTGGCAAGATTTGTCAATCTAGGAGCTGAGTTATTGTAGCATAAGTAAAAGTGAGATTATGTATTACCTACACTCTAAGAGATGATTTTTCACTGTTATTACACTGTAACAGGCTATTTTTCACTATAATTACTTAAAGATATAAAAGCAGGGTAAGTATAAAATCACCAAAAAAAGCTGTGGTTAATAATGAAACGATTAACGAAAGTTAAAACAACAACAACTAAGTGAGGTGAATATTAGGGATGTTGATCTGTGATCGATTACTTTAATTGTTGTTGTAACTGTTACTTGTTGGAATGTTGATATTTTGTATTTTTTATTATTATTTTGTATTATATTTTATCTCCTTAACACAGAAAAATAATCGAAAATAGATATTAAATGCTCAATTTAATCGAGAATCGATTATATTACGCTCGTCGCAAATCGAATCGAAAATCTGTCTTTTTCTTTTAATTAAATAGTTTGAAGTTTGAACTGTCAAGTCAAGTTTATAAATTAGAAGATGTCACTAGTGTATTCTTTATGGTAATCGATTTATTGCCATAAAGAATACACTACAATCGATTTTCTAACTTATTTCTTATTTTATTGTTTTTTCGAATTCTAGATTGTAAAAAGAGCTACTTTTTTGTATTTTACTTTATAAAAATATGACCAATTTTTTAAAGTATAAACCAATTAGTTAACCTCAGGCCCAAAAATCCCGTTCTCCTTTAGCTGTTACGTTAACTTATATTCAGGAAACAGTTAGTAGATTCTTAGATTCGGATTTAAAGATCGGTTTACATAATTCAGACTAATCCATGCCATACAGTGCCCGAATGCATTTGTTCTGTGCTATAAACACCCTCGTGATGTCACAAGAATTTTTTCAGGTAACTCTGCCATACTGTATAATGGAGCAAGTGTAAGCGTGATATATGATAATTAAAAAAAAAGTATGTCTGCTTGTCACGTCTCTTACTTTTCGAAGTGTTGCGCTGTTTATTTGTTGTATAAGTGAATTATTATAACAAATACTTAATTAAATGTTTTTATTCTTATAAGTTTTGAAGTGAACTATTTTCGTTTTCTAAATGTTTATTTTTAATTTGTTTATGTCTAACCATTCAATAACATCATCTAACGTTTTATATATTTCCGTCTAAAATTTGTCTATATGTTACTGTCCATAATGATAGTCGTGTCGTCTGCAATGCACGTGAAAGTTCATTGACGTAAATAAAAAATAACCCTATACCATGTGGCACCTTAGAACAATTAATCCTTTGTTTCGAGTCAAACTTAACTACATTACTTGTTCCTCTATCAAACTTTATAATTCTAGCAATGTATTTTATTTTTTTTCCAAATATAACTGAAACCATAAGAAAGAAGATCCTCTTATTCCACATTTGTCAACTATCGAGATGAGTATCGAATGATCAACAAAATCGAATGCTTTGAAGTCTAATAGGAGAGCTGATGTAGCTAATTGCGTTGACCGATATTTCCTGAAACCAAATTGTTCCGGTGCCAAAATGTCATATTTATCTAAGAAGTTTACTCTTCTTTTGAGCATAATTTTTTCAAAGATCTTAGCCAGAACCAGAGTTAAATCATTAGGCCTATAATTATTTTTGTCTGATTTCATGCAGTTTCTTTATTATCGAAAAATTAAATTCGTCTGCAAAACATCCTTGTTCAAAAGATAGATTTATAATGTGAGCCAAAGGTTCCAATATAAATAGAGCAATACGTTTCAATAAGTCAGAATTAATTTCGTCATACCTTTCCATAATTTTTCTATGAAAATTATTGTGCAAAAAACTTCATTTGCATCCGGGGGTTTTATGTTTATTTTATTTTATTTATGTGTGTATGTGTGTGTTTGCGGGTGTGTTTGCGTGCGTGTATGCGTGCGTGAATGCGTGAGTGCCTGCGTGTCAATGTTAATTTCCTGCTGCTAGTAGCTAGTAGCTGTATTACGAGTATTATTATTATTTTGTGATTTTTCTAATATCTCTGATATGGATTTCATTTGGTATCCGAAATAAAGATTTATTGTTATTATTATAAAAATATTAGAATCGTTACTTATAAAATTTAGTATGCAATGCTAACACTAATTATGGACATAAGCAGATCTAGTAGAATTTTTAACTACATCAATGAAAAACCTATTAAAAAGTTTGCTATGTCAGATCTAGATGTAAATGTACGAGGTAGAGCAATGCTGCAGCTATATTAGTAGTATAGTTATAGCACGAATGGGTCGACTCGACCGGGAAAGGACCACGCTCTTACAGAATACCAGCGTCAAATAGCAGCTTAACACTGCTGTGTTTTGTATGGTGAGTGTAGAGAACCGGAGACCCTTTTTACTAGAAAAGAGGCATTCTACGTTAGTCCACACGGGTGACAACGCATCTGCATTTCGATTCGCAAACGAGGGTAAATGTAAATGTCTATGGGCCACAGCAACCACTTACCATCAGGTGGACTGTGTGCTCGTTTGTCACCCTATCCTATATAAAAAAATTGATGATAAAAGTCGATACACTTTTTATACCGTGACTGGTGAAACTTGATTAAAAGATAAAATTGTCTAAAATTGCAAGAAATAAAATTACTTATTATTTTATATTTTTTAAAAATAACTTATTTATTTTTTTATTTCAGATATATTCGTTTTATTTGGAACTTGAATGAATAGCTGTGCTACTTAGGTTTCTAATACAAACAAACAAAAAAAAAAGTGATATTTGCAAATTTGTAGTCATAGTACCTAAAAATATTGCATAGTGTAGTGTATAGAACAAGCTCCGTCCTTGACATGGAATATTGGCCGATCCCGGGTTTGTGTTCTTCTTAAATTAAAGTATTTGTATATTATTCGATGGTGCACGCGACTGCTAAAGGGAGAGAGGTGCTTTTTAATTAAATAGGTTGTAAAGATAATTTAATTTTACATGCAGGTCAGTAAACTTGTTTTCTCATTGCAGTAATTTAATTAAGGTGTCAACTGATTTTTTTTTCTCAATAACTTCTCCCTTAACATTTCTGGAAATTTTTACACATGCCACAAGAAAATAAGTTTTGTTTGACAAATGACTTTTTTTAAACTTACTAAGCCTACTAACGTTTCAAATTAGGTTCCTCTGACTGAAGAAGAAGGGCGAAAGAAACTCCGCCGGTTTTAAGTTATTATTATATAGCGTAGTGTATTCAGAATGGAAAACGACCATTGACCTCTCGGTAGTTGAATTAATTATGTTCTACGATTTACCAAATAAAAAACGATTAAAAATTTTAAGCTTACTAATTTATACAAATCTGAGCAGACCTCACAAGCAGCACTTGTTCACAAGTAAACACGACTAGCTATCGCCCTCTCAACCATATTTAAGGTAAGGGGAAGACCGATTACACAACGCCACCGCAAGCAGAGACCCTAAGCTAGCATGACATACCGAAACCCACCACACATTGAGACGTGTATGTCCTGAACACAATTGCAGTTTCCCATGGGACCATTTACAATTCCCTCATACAGAACTTTCTATGTAACTAAATAT